TTTGGCACGAATCTTCATCCAATAATGCTTCCAATTCCGCGTCTTCGTACACTTTCGGCCTTCCGCTACGTTCTTTGTCTTCGACGTCAAACTCACCGTTCTTAAACTTTTGAAACCACTCACGGCAACTTCTCTCACTTAAGGCAGCCTCACCATATGCTTCTACAAGCAATCGATGCGCCTCAGCTGCAGATTTCTTCAAATTAAAGAAGTAAATCAAGAGCTCCCGCAAAATGATGCTTATTCGGCTCAAAATTCGACATTTTCGCACGAAAAAAGATATAAGATGCTGATGCAAAATTGCTAATATTTCAAGGTTATGTTCTTGCCAGATGTCCAACCTTACGATATGACGTTTTACAGCTGACAATTTTAACTATAACATACTGGTAGCGCCATTGTTTGTCAAACGGCGGAAACTTTATACTGCCAATTTTTCTACTCCCAATAGTTCTGGGTGAAGTACGCATGGGTTCCCTTCGACTTTTCGTCCGTTGATAACACACGTTATCAACAATAATTGACAGTGTTTCTGCAGATTCCATACAGTTAAATGTATAAAATTTTGTTACACACTAAATCCCTTATTAAAAATACAAAAATATTATTTATTACCTGTTCGTTTCCTGTGTTTTACTCGCAGTTTCTTCATCTATGTTTCTGCAACAAATATATATGATATAACATTACAAGATAAACTATACGAGGATAAGTCAATAAGTTCTTAGAAAATCTGTCAGACGGCACTCGCAGTGTCATGTCATATTACTTTTTGACAAGAAGCATTTTTGAGCTGATTACTGTCAAATTTTGAGTGGAATTCATTGCGTGGTTTCATTTCTGTAGACGATTAAAGCGAACAACCTTTGTATTTTTTGCAAAATGGAAAAAAACGAGTTTTGTGCAGTGATCAAACATCTACATATAAAAGGTTTAACGAAAGAAATCAAAGCCGAGTTGGATAATGTTCATAGCACATCTGCACCAGCGTTTGCGACTGTATACAATTGAATGAATGAATTTAAACGTGGTCGTACATCCACAAGTGATGCACTTCGTTCGGGATGTTCAATTGAGACTGCTACGACAGAAATCATCGATAAAGTCCACGATATTGTTTTGACTGATCAATGAGTGAAAGTGCGCGAGCTTGTTGAGGCCACAGGCATATCACATGGCACAGTGATTTCAATTTTGCAGGAACAATTGGGTATGAAAAAGCTATCGACAAGATGGGTGCCGCGTTTGCTCACAATGGACCATAAGCACAATCGGGTGACGATTTCAAAACAATGTTTGGAGATGTTTCAACGTAATCCAGATGAATTTCTGCGTTGATTTATTACTGTGGACGAAACATGGATCCATTACTTCACACTCGATACGAAGGAACAGTCATAATAATGGACTTCACCGGATGAACAGCTCCGAAGAAGGCGAAGACTGCTGGGTGAAGTCGGCCGGAAAGGTGATGGCCACAGTTTTTTGGGATGCACACAGTATAATTCATATTGATTACCTTCCGTCAAAGCAAACGATCAATGGCAATTATTACGCAGCCTTATTGGACCGTTTCAATAACATTTTAAAGAAAAAACGTCCTCATTTGGCGAGGAAGAAAGTGCTGTTCTATCAAGACAATGTACGTATTCACACGTACCCGGCACCGATGGTCAAATTCAACGAATTCTGCTACGAATTGCTTCCCCATCCAGCATATTCGCCAGATTTAGCCCCTTGTGACAATTTCCTGTTTCCAAACCTGAAGAAATGGTTCGGAGGAAAGAGATTCACTACCAGAGAGCAGCTCAACGCCGAAACAGAGGCTTATTTTGAAGGATTGGACAAATCATATTATTCGGACGTCTTGAAAAAGTTGGAGAATCGTTGGATCAAGTGTATCGAGCTGAAAGGAGATTATGTTGAGAAATAAAAATAAATCGATCAAAAAAAATGTGTTTTGCTATATTTTT